GCATCTTCATCTTGCTCCATTAGGTAACACAGAATGTCTGTGACATTCTCTCTCATGATATAAGTCCTATGCACGTCTGCATTGAACACTTTGCTTTCAGAATCATAACCAGAGAATTGTTTGGTACTATGAGGAATAGAAACCCTCCGTGCACAGCTCCCTACAGGGCACCCAAAACTTTATTGCCAGTTGTAGTTCAAATAAGACCTGCATACTGATAATAAGTGAAGTCACCAGGCTGACCATCAATGCTCTCCGCATTGTATCCATCTCCAGTCACCTCCAACTAGATTTTTTTTCTTGGTATGGGGAAAGAGAGAAGTAACTGTAGATAAATTGTACAAATTATCTTAATGCTATAGAGTATATATTTTGCCCCTTGGCTTGTCTTCATAGGAGAGTAGGTGGTTTCCTTCAAGAGGCATAGACATAGAGAGTGTGGTCAAGGATATCACTAAGATGAGGTCACGTGGACAATCACATTGATTAGAGAAATCACAGGATAACAGTCTTTTTCTTCTTGGTGGCAGATATGCTTGATACCCGTATGAATGATTTCTACCTGGGAATGCCACATCAGTGACAGAATTATCAGCAATTAGGAACAGAAGAATTCTGGCTCCTTCAGTGTTTACTGAGAAATTACTCTCAGATGAGATTCAGCTCTGAGAGAATCTTCTTGTATGAGGTAACAATTGTAGTAAAAAGCAGCATGAGGCTGACATTTTGGCAATGGCTTTCCATACAACAGGTATATTGGATAAAATAAAAGAAATGCAAATTTTGATTAATATTCTTTATAAGTGAGGAGGCCAAAAGTGTAAGAGGGCATCTTTTAGACCAATAATACAGAACACCCTCTGAACCTCCCAAAGCTGGAAACTGATGGAGTCATGTAGCAAAAAGTGTAGGTGTCTGTGGTAATGATCATCAAGGATTACTCAACACTGAAATTTCTAGTGTTGCAGAAAATCTTCCACCTGCCTAGTTTTTATTAAATTTTGCAGGCACATATATGTAATTATGTGAACTTAAAGAAAACTGCTGAATCCTTCAGTATTTGTGTATTCCTCATATATAGCATTCATGCATGTGTTTAGGGCTGTATTCTTTGTCTCATCTGTCCCATCAAAGGGCTCTCCCTGGGGAAGTCTGCTTCATCAAATCCTTCCCAATATCAGTACAGGTAGATCTTCAGGTACCAGTTAGAACCTGTGAGTTTCTCCCATCCACTTCAGCATTTCAAGTTGAAGCGTCATTTTATTTTTTATTAATCTTTATGCTTTCTTATTTTGAGATATAAACAGTGAACCTTACAGTAACATACAGAAGACACTTTCTCACAGCAGGCATACTATTCCTCTGTATCCTATAGTTGTCCTTCCACCTCTTCCACAATATTATCCAAGTGTGGAGTCCAAGTTAGTTTTTTTTTTTTTAATCAGTTTTTTTTTGGTTCCGCAGAGTCAGTTTTATTTGACCAGATGAAAATTTTATTGTATCTTTCTACTGGAAAATGCAGCTACTTTGCTGAGGGTGATGGATACATTCATCTGTGGGTAAAAGGATAAATATTTTAAATGCATATAGTATTTTTCCTGCCTTAAAATCTTCCTTCTGTAGGTTCTTTTCGAATATCCATTATCTCAGTGCCTATGGATAGTTGGCCAGGTTTACACTGTTTAGCATTTTTTTTTTCATTTGACGATGATATAACTCTGCTCCATTAACCAGAGATATCACAAACAATTCACTTACAGATTTGCATTGCCAGGCCTCTGATGATCCAGTAAGGGCTAAGATTTAGGAAATGATGATGCTTGAGGAAGGTTAGGAAAATCATGAACTTCACATCACTTCTGCAGAAATGTTACCCCAGTGGTCACCTCAAGATTGCATGGTGGTAAGGAGTAGCCCAAAGGTAAGATGAATGACATTCAAGAATATCTCTGGCACATTCATCGTGTAAGAAATTCAAAAACCAAACATGTGAAAGTAAAGTAAATGTAAGTTTTTGGAGAGAAGCTTGGTCACATTTTATGTGGAATAGAGTAGAGTTTCCTGGGTGCTGCTCATGTTCCCTTACAAGATATCGGCTAGCACCAGAACAACATAGACAGTTTCCTACTTTTTAAAGTTTCAGATTAATAAATTGAAACTTCAGGTATTTAGATATATGATAAAAAATCTGGTGACTAATGTTGAATGGCCACCCCTATGGTCATTAGTTATATACATTTGTCTGCCTTATGGCCATTAAATATATTCAATGGTCAATCTTACTGACTTTGAAATATATTCAATGTGTTACTTTTTCTTTTAAGTTCAAACATACCTGCGTGGTTTGTTGCCTCAGGCATAAACACACTTTTATTTATGTTCACCAGAGTTAATTTGCAGATTATAGAAGTAAACATCCAGGGATAGTTGTGGATTTGCAATCAAGTACATGATAGTAATTGACAGATATATGAGTAATGCTTGTCAGCTAAGTAAGAGCATCTGGTGAAGTTTTGTGATAATTATTGTCTCACAAATTGGCAGAGGTAGTAAATATTTGAATAAACCAGTATTTGCTGAACATGATAGCAGAATTGCACATATGAATTCCTAGCACTTATAACTTCATGTGAAGACTTTTTTGTTTCGGGTCAAGCAGGCCATAGTCTCAGAAAAACTAGTGGAGACCTCCTGATATCTCACTCATAATTGAGTAGCTACTGATAATGTATTTGTTTATGGAAAGGGACAGTTAGTTTTCTTCTGGGGCTTTGGCTTTCAGAAGCTACCCATGATCCCTCAATTTTCTGCACATCTGTGTATAAACAGGCAGTCTTAAATGGATATTTGTTTTGTATACGGAGCTTCACAGTTCGCTATTTTAATTGGTATTTTATCATAAAAATCTCCATCAAGGAGAAGTTTCTTGGTGTGAGGAGAGGACTAAAAATACCGTTAGATATGAGGACAAATATTTATACATCTCAGAGGTTATGTTGATTTAATTTAATAAATTTAAGGAAGTAGATTCTCCTCCAAAATCATGATTTCAGTACCACTGAGAAATTAACTATGTTTCCAGTCCTAGTCATGGTATTCCTCTTGTTGTACAGGGATAGTGTGTACAGGTCATAGGTGTGATTTAAAAGCTGTTGGATACATCCAGGTAAGCATGTCAATATTGCAAACTTAGGGTTATTTTGTTCTTCTGTGCATTAATGTTACTTCTAACTATCACAAGAATGATGATTGCATTCCTCTTTTGGATGCATGCACAGTCCTGATAGATACAGCTAGAAAACTCTCACATAACTAAATCTTAGGCAATGCTGAATCAAATGTTGCAGAAGAATTGCATGTGGCAGATTTTCAAGGATTTTGGTATGACATTGTGTCTTTTAGTAATATAAGATGCTCTGCTATTAGAGTCCCAGCAATATGATTGGCCTAAAATAATCTGAATAACGATGATACAAATAAACATGCCAAGTAGGAAACATAAAAGCCCTCATGCACTCAAATGTGCCACATTTTCTCTATCTATTCTTCAGGTGAGGGGCATCTATGTTGCTTCCAGGTTCTGTCTATTACAAATAATGCTGTGATGAACATCGTTGAACAGATGTCCTTGTTGTATGAATGTGCATGTTTTGGGTATATGCCTAAGAGTTGAATTGTTGGATCTTGTGGTAGACTGATTCCCATTTTCCTGAGGAATTGCCATACAGATTTCTAAAGTGGCTGTAGGAGTTGTCTGTCCCATCATCAGTGGATAAGTGTTCCCCTTTCTCTATATACTCGCCAGCATTAACTGTCACTGGTGTTTTTGAGTTTAGCCATTCTGACAGGTGTAAGATGGTATCACAGAGTTATTACTTTCTTCAATGAAGGAGATATTTTAGGGCACTGTGATATACATAAAGTTCTAATCAGGGTGATGACACATGTGTTTAATCAAAGCACTGGGGAAACTGACACAGGGAGGTAGCATAAGGTCAGCAGAAATCAGAATGGTCCTGTACATAATGGATGCTTCTGGTTAATAGCCAGATTCTATGTTCAAGCCATCTAATGCATGTTCAGTTTCCAGGTGCCATGAGTGATTTTGTCTGTTATTAAGTGTAGCAGGATTCCTTGTTAAATCATTTCTTTTCAATTTTCCTGCTTCTACTACAACTGACAGGGAGAGTGAGAGGTAGATGGGACAGCAATTCTGTTGGAAATCTCCCTAGTTACTGCAGAGTATGGATTTCCATCACTAGGCTTAGGATCTCTTTCTTGATTGACCCAAATCTATTCTCTATATGATTTTATACAGCCAATCAGAGGCAAACAAAACTCATAAAAGTCTCCTCACACAGGGCTTTTTGCCAAATCCCTTTGTCATATTCTTTGTTATCAAAAATGAGAATTTAATACAATAGATGGGCATTTATATATTATTCATATAACTATCTCTTAATCACTTACTGTGCACTAATCAGTCATCTTTCAAATTCATTATTTCCTCATTAATTATATTGTTACATATATACACATCTAAGTTCATATGTATTAATATGTAAACATAACATAATGAATCCATTGTTGTACCTAGGTCTACAGTATTCTGTGGAGATGATGACAACATGGTAATGCAATTAGGCATCATATTTGATGAAATGTTTCTAAGGGCCTGTAATTCCACAGACTCACTAGCCCTGACATGAATGCTGATTTAAAATATAAAGCATGATTTACCTGTTTTAAGCAGGACTCTGGTTCAGTTATGTGGATACTAGATACTGTAAGATAAAGGAGCCAGTAGATCACCATTAGTTATATCTAGCCATGCTATAACTAATGTCTTTTAAGGACTATTATATATATAATGTTATATATATAACATAATGGTCTTAAAAGGTACCATAAATAAATTGGACAATTTTTGTGATTTTTTATTAGATTAGGAACAAGCTTGCTTCACATGTCAGTGCCTTCTCCCTCTCCCTCCGCTCCCCTAAATCTCCCCCAACCTATCACCTGTCTGCCACCCTATCCACCTTCCACTTTCTTAGTTGGGATACAGCCTTCATCGTGGGCTCCCCCATGTCCACCACATCATCCTGGGCTGGGCCTTGGCCTTCCCCATATGTCTAGGCCAAAGGTGCATACCTTCACGTGGATGGGCTCTAAAAGTCACTTCCTATACCAGGGAAAATTCTGATTCATTCCCAGGAGCCCCATAGAGTGCTGAGCCCTCCTAATTGACATCAATGTTCAGGGGTCTTGATGAGTCCTGTGCTGGCCTCCCATACAGCAGTCTGTGGTCTGTGTGCTCCCCCTTGTTCAGGCCAGCTATTTCTGTGGATTTCACCAGCCTGGTTCCAACCCCTTTGATCTTCACTCCTCCCTCTCTGCAACAGGTTCCAGAGTTCAGTTCAGAGTGTATCTGTGGGTGTCTGGCTCTGCTTCCATCAGCCACTGGATGAGGACTCTAGGATGGCATAAAAAGTAGTCATCAATCTCATTTTAGGGGAAGGGTATTTAGGTTATCCTCCCCACCATTGCCTAGATTGTTAGTTTGTGCCATCATTGTATATCTCTGGAAATCTCCCTAGTGCCATATCTCTCCTTGGACCTTTAATGGCTCCCTCTGAAATGGTATCTCTCATCCTGCTCTCCTCTATTCTTTCCCAGCTCAAAATTACTGCTCCTCCATTTCCTCCTCTCATTCTGGCAGCTCCCTCTCCCCTACCCTCATGCTCCCAATTAGTTCAGGAGTTTCTGCTTCTTCCCATTCTCTGGGGTTCATACATTTTCCCTTAGAGTCCTTGTTTCCTCGTTTCTTTGGTGAAGAGGATTGTAGGCTGGTGATCTTTGGCTCTATGTCTAAAAGCTTTCCTGTTGCCATACTGGTCTCTGAAAGATAAACAATGTGTCTGAGTTTTATGTTATTTCTGTTCAAGTATCTGTAGATCCATAACAAAACCACGGAATTCATCCAGAAGGATTTAACATTCACTAATTTGAAGCAACCATGAGCAGTAGTAATAGACTATATTATTAGTAATCTCCTGGACTCCCTCATCAACACTTTGAAAGGAGTTTCTCCTGACTGCCTCTGATGTTCCTCTTAGGTAGTCATGGCCATTGGTGGGCTGATTATCTTCCAGGGTTTTGAAGACACAGGTGGTGATATCCTGCAGAATAAGGGGCTTACATGGAGACAGCCATTTCTTCTTAAGCTCCTCCCACACCTTACCTAATTCACAAGTATTGTTCCTGCAAAGTCCTGTGTTTGTGTCATCATGCTTGTTTGAGTTTATAACACATTTTACAGAATGCATATTTTGTGTTAAATGCAATATTTCCTCTTCTTTTAGTCATTTCACTTCCAACTTAGACTATGTTATTAATACTACATTATCTTATTCATAATGTATTTTCTTTGGTAAGTTTTCCTATTTAGGCATGTATTAATATATGGGAAATAATTTAAATGGATTTTGTGGTCTCATGAGTGGGGAATTTAATTTTCATGTATTATAAAGTTGTCCCACTAGTTTTGAAAATTACTAGGTCTTTTGAAAATGTCAGCTGTTTTTGAGAATTGTTGGTGTCTTACACACACACACACACACACACACACACACACACACAATATCCCATTTTTATGTCAGTATTGGTCTGCCAGTGTAACATGCTACTGAGCTCTAGGACCAATGACAGATTCTGTGTCAAAAAAAGAAAGAGAATCTGCATGGAGGAAGGGTTCTGGTGTTGTCCTTCCCTCCATCATTTGTACACATATAGCAGAACCCTCATACACCAATTAGCATATAAACAAATATATTTAATTTTTCATTTTGGAGCACCTGTTTTCATTTTACTAATCTTTGTTTAACCATATGAAAATGACTTCCTGACAACTCACTTTTTCAGAGTTTTGAAATATGACTGAAATTTGAAAATCTTATTTTTCTATTTTTATATTGTGTTAATGTTGGTTATCTCATTTTTCATTTTGTATTACAATTGCTCATGTAAATAATTTGATTGGACCTTATAATTTTCATATGTTATATTCTGGAATTTGCATATAATTAGACCGAAGTAATGTTTGAATACTTAGTGCTCTAATTTTCACAAGTTTATTCCCTTTCACAAAAACTGTAAAAATCTTGATTGCTTTTGGCATCAGACTTCTAAGAAGCTGATATGTGTAGTATTTATTTTCCACATTAATAGTTTAGAGAAAACCTTCCTGGAAGTGTGAAATGGAGATGACAATGGTGAACATTCTTGATTATCACTGCCTCTTAATGATCTGCACATTTCTTGTCTCCTAATCCTGCCATATAATCATGTGTACTTTGAAAGTCATGATGTCTTCTTCATTGTTTACACACACACACACACACACACACACACACACACACACACACACACACACACCACTCCTAAAAATACAAATATTCAATTATAAGTTATATGTGAATGAAAAGTTAATTTTCATGTGGTATCTATATGTCGTAGATCTTTTGAGAAAACGTTTACCTAGTATGCATTTTTTGGCATTTGTAATATGAGTTAAATGATAATAAGTACATGATAATTTTGAACCCACAACCTCTCTCAAATAATTTTGTATTTATATGAGTGTGTGTGTGTGTGTGTGTGTGTGTGTGTGTGTGTGTGTGTTCGTGTGCATGTTGTCACATTGTAGTAAGTTTTGCAAACAAAAAATGGAATTCAGTGAATTTGTTCATGTTTTCAGTATAACTTCATCAATACCAGATTTTCTCTGGTTTTATACATATTTTATAGTTGTGTTGAAAGTTAGGACAAAGGAATGACACATATGAGAACCTCAATATACACTGCATTACTTGTGAACATAATATTTATATTAATATCAACACAATTTTCTAGTAAATTAGTATTTATTAATCTTTGTTTTAATCTTAATAATCATGTGAAAATTATTTATTCCTTTATGCATATATATGTGCATATATACATTAGCACTATTGCTTACCTAAGTTTTAACTCCATACATTTTGTACATGTCTTACTATTTCTGTAATAATCACATGGTGTTCTTTCCACTTATATGTAGTTTATATTTCTGGAGACAGAAACACCTGCTGTTCATTTTCTCTACTCACTTCCTTGAGCACAGTTTTCAGTAAGTGTTCTTAGATGTGTCTTGACTTGAATCTATTTCTTTGTAACTACTGGGAAAGCACTCTACCTGTTATAGGTATTTCCTTCCATTTAATTTCATGAAATTCCAGCTGTGTAACTGATCTGTTTTGTGTTTCTTCATCTTGCATTAATCTATATTAATAAATATAATTTCATAAATTGGACAATGATTTTTGTTCTTTTAATCCCAATTCTTCATCTCATCCAGATCTGCTGAAACAATCCTTTCTAAGTTGTTAACTATTTTTTTTTATTTTAAGAATTATGTACTTCATAGAAATCTAGTGTAGCTAGATAATTTTCTCATCTCTGTACCTACAACCATTTCTTTGTATTTATTCCTCATTACTCTTCAATATTTATGACCTCTTCATTTTTATTGTTGATTATACAAAACACACACACACACACAATCACAATAAACAAATAAACAAATAATAAATAAATAAATAAATAAATAAACAAAATGTGTTGAATACCATTAGTGTCCTTGGGTCAGTAATATTCTTTGGGTATAAGGATAGAGTTTGGAATACAGTTAGGGCTCATAATGGTTTATGAAAGTAGTATTAATTTCATCTAAGTCATATGGAGTCATCCCTCACATGACATTTTCTGTTTTACATTATGAAGCATGATTTTGTTCTTGTTATGGAAGCCTTTTATACCTCAGGTAGCTATTAGTTGTGGGCAAGGTATAAGATCCACTATTTTATCTTCAATGATATCTTTCCATGCTAGTCCTTCAATGGCATCATAACTAGGCTGGACACTTCGTCACTTTCCTCCCTTAACTGTTTTCTAACACTTCACTTGTCTCTGAAGGATGTTTCTCAGTGATAGGGTTTAATGTATTCAAGTTCAATTTCTCCTTGATGTAAATAAATGCAATGATATCTGCAGTGGGGATTTACATGTCACTTCTTGGAATAAACCAAGTGTGATAGTAATAGACTGTACTCCTGTGGTAAAACATTGGACTCCACGTGCAAACAACTCAAAAGTAGTTTTTTTCTGCCTATATCTAGAAGTATTTTGAGATTACAGATATTCTCCTGGTGGGTGTATTATCTCTCCAAAGTTTTTTTTGTTTCAACTAAATACATTCACATATATTTTATTTATATCTAATATTTGGTGTGTTATAAAATAACAGATTCCTTATCATGTTTATCATTCTTTGTATTTCTATTTTTCTTTAATTGTGTCCCTGTGTCCTCATAGAACTGATTTGCAGAATTGTTTATTCAAGTATTATTTATGTAGATCTGACAGTCCTTAAATTTAGAATAGTAAGATAATTTGTACTTTGTAGTCTACATTGGACTTTTGTATTCTAATATGAAGTGATTTGACTCTTGATTAAGGCCATACCTGTACAGTCAGCTATGACTGATAATGTGCTGATAATTTTACTTTTCCCTTTGTGATTTCCCCAAAATCTGTGTTTCACAGAACTATCATCTAAATCATATAACTACTTTGCCATGGATTTTTTATGAAAGTCTTCCAAGAGTGAAAAGGTCTTTATAGATAGTTTAGAATGTGCAGGATATAGATTATTAAGTTAGAGGGCTCTATCTTTGCACCTATATAAAACCTATAGTAACCAAATAGGAAAGGAAATCTGATGAAACATTGGGTTGGAGAACAATCATATTGAAATTGAATACCCAAAATTGTTGTTTTCTTTGGGAACAACCTGTATTTTGTTCATAAATGGGAAAGAGACAAGTAACTGAAGATAAATTGTATAAATTATCTTTATGCTATAGAGTAAATATTTTGCCCTTTGGTTTGTGTTTATAAGAGAGTAGGAGGTTTCCTTAAACAGGCATAGACAATAGAAAGTGTGGTGAAGGATATCACTAAGATGAGGTCATCTGTATAATCAAAATGATTTGAGAAATCACAGGATAACAGTCTTTTTCTCCTTGGTGGCAGGTATTCTTACCTGTATGACTGATTTCTACCTGGGAATGCCACATCAGTGAGAGAAGCATCAGCAAGCATCTACAGAGGAATCCTGGCTTCTTCAGTGTTTACAGAGAAATGACTCTCATGATGAGATTCAGCTCTGAGAGATACACTGGATATAAGGTAAGAAACATAGCAAAAACAGGATGAGGCTGACATTTTGGCGATGGCTTCCCATACAACAGGTATATTGGATAAAAGAAAAGAAATGCAAATATCAGTATTCTTTATAGATATTGAGGCCTAGAGGTAATAGGGCACAGTTAGTCCAATAATATATAGCATCCTTGGCAAAGCTGGAAACTGATGGTATCATGTATCAAGAAGTTAGTTGTCTGTGGTAATGATCATCAAATATTATTCAACATTGAAATTTCTAGAGTTGCAAAAAAATTTTCACCTGACCTATTATTTTATTAATTCTGCTGTGGCATATATGTAATTATGTGTAATTAATGTAAACTGCTGAATCCTTCAGCATTTGTGTATTCCTCATATAGAGTATTCATGCATGTGTTTAGGGCTGTATTTTTTGTCCCATCTGTCCCATCAAATGGCTCACCCTGGAGAAGTCCTCTTCATCAAATTCTTCCCAATATCATTACAGGTATATCTTCAGGTACCAGTTAGAACTTGTGAGTTTCTCCCATCCACTTTGGCATTTCAAGTTGAAGCATCATTTTATTTTTTATTGATCTTTATGCTTTCTTATTTTGAGATATAAACAGTGAATCTTACAGTCACATACAGAAGATACTTTCTCATAGCAGGCATATTATTACTCTGTATCTTATGGTAGTTCTGCCACCTCTTCCACAATATTATCCAAGTGTGGTTTGCTGAGTGAGTTTTGGTTTCTTTTATTCATCATTTTAATTTTTTATTTTAATTTTTTTACAAGGAGAAATGAATTTTTAACCTCTGTTCTTTTTCTTTTTTTTATTTGAATTACAAACAAGATAGAAAAATATGACAATCCCAGTTCCCTTCTCCCTCCCTTCCTCCCCTACCATCCTCCCAACTAAAAATCCTACCATAACATATCCTTTCTTCTAATCTACACTTGACTCGAACTTTTTGCTCCCTCATGACCTCTGCATCCTTCCTTTTCTTCCCTTCTCATTCTTGTAGCTCCCTCCCCCCTCCTTCCATGTTCTCAATTTTCTCATGGGATGGTGACCCTTTCCCCTTCTCCAGGGGACAGAGTTTGTCTCTTTTAGGGTCCTCTTTGTTTACTAGTTTCTCTGGCAGTGTGAATTATAGGCCGGTAATCCCCTACTCTATGTCTAAAATGCACATAAAAGTGAGTAAATATCATGTTTGTCTTTTTCTGATTGGGTTACCTCACTCAGAATGGTTTCTTCAAGTTCCATCCATTTTCCTGCAAATTTCAAGATTCCATTTTTTTTTTCTGCTGAGTGATACTCCATGTTGTAAATGTACCACATTTTCTCTATCCATTCTTCAGTTGAGGGTCATCTAGGCTCCTTCCAGTTTCTGGCTATTACAAATAGTGCTGCTATGAACCTCGGTGAACAAATGTCTTTGTTTTATGAATGTGCTTCTTTTGCGTATATGCCTAAGAGTGGAATTGCTGGATCATGTGGTAGACTGATTCCCATTTTCTTGAGTAGTTGCCATACTTATTTCAAAAGTGGCTGTACAAGTTGGCACTCCCACTAGCAGTGGAGAAGTGTTCCCCTTTCTCCACATCCTCTCCTATTCATCAGGGTTTTTTGGGCATGGCAGACTCAGCTGCATTTTGACTAGTGGACTATTTTTATTTTATCTTTCTACTGGAAAATGAAGCTATTTGGCTGAGGGTGAATGTTACTCTATCTTTGTGTAAAAAGATATGTATTTTAAATGCATAAAGAAATTTTACTACCTTAGTACTTCAGTCTGTAGGTTCTTTTTGAATATCCTTTATCTCAGTGTCTATGGATATTTGTCCAGGTTTAAACCGTTTGGCATAATTTTTCCCTTGTCGATCATACAAGTCTTCTCCATTGACAGAGATATCAGAAACAATTCACTTGTAGATTTGCATTGTCAGGCCTAGGATAACCCAGTAAAGGCTAAGATTTAGGGAATGATGATGCTTGAGGAAAGTTAGGAAAATCATGAACTTCATGTAAGTTCTGCAGCAATGTTACCCCAATGGCCACTGTAAGATTGCATGGTGGCAAAGAGTAGCTCAAATATAAAATGAACTACAATCAAATTCTCTCTACCACATTAATAGTGTAAGAAATTCTAAAATCAAAATTATGTGAAAGTATATGGTACATGTGAGTATTTAGAGAGAACCTTGGCTCACATGTGATGTGAAATGCAGTAGAAATTGCTATGTGTTGCTCATGCTCCCTTACAGCATAGTGGCACACACTAGAACAACATAGACACTTTCCTACTTTTTTAATATTTCAGAAAAATAAAGTGGAACATCAGGCATCACTCAGAGATATGGTAAAAACATTTTGGAGACTAACAGAATGGTCACCCCTCTGGTCCTTTAATTAAATACAATTGTCTGCCTTATGGGACTGTAAATATCCTCAATGTTAAATCTTATTGAGCTTGAAATATATTCAATGGGTTACTTTTTCTATTCAGGTGAATTATGCCTGGGTGGGAAGTTGGTTTAGGCAGAAGCACACTTTTAATTATGTCCACCATGTTTTTTTCAACAATATAGAAGTAAGCATCCATAGATAGTGTTGAATTTGCAATTCATGTACATGATGGTCTTTGTCAGATGTTTGAGTATTTTTTGCCAGCAAAGTAATATTATTTGATGAAGTTTAGTGAGAATTATTGTCTCATATGTGCTACAGGTATTAGGTATTTCCTGAACAGGATAGCAGAATTGCTCATATGAATTCTTAGCACTTATAACTGAATGTACAAGACTTGCTTATCCCAGGTCAAGCTAGCAAAAATCTCAGCAAAGCTAGTGCAGGAGCTCATGATATCTCTCTCATATTTTAGAAACTACTGTTATTTATTTGTATATGGAGAAGGGACTGTTGTTTTTCTTCAGGGGCTTTTGCTCTCAGAAGTTACTCATGATCCCCTAGTTTTCTGCGCATCTCTGTATACACAGGCGTCCCCAAATGGGTATTATAAAGCTTCACAATACAGAGCTCCACAGCTTGCTGTTTTAGTTCACCCTAACCCTAATTGTCCAATAATCATGATATCCCTACTACTAAGTAGGTAACTAGGTTTCCAATACTAAGCATGATATTCCTCATGTTGTGCAGGTCATGGGTAATTTGAGAGCTGTTGGCTATATCCTGGTATGTGTGTCAATACTGTACCCTTATGGTTATTTTGCCCGGCTGTTCATTAATGTTATTTATAACTATGACAGCTACTTAAGTGTGTTGATTGCATTCCTCTGTTGGATGCATGCACAGTCCTGATAGTAATATCCAGAAAACTCCCATGCCAAAAATCTTAGGCAATGTTGAGATAAATTTGATAGCAATATTACAAGAGCTAGATTTTCAAGGGATTTGACATTGTATTGTGTCTTTTAGTAATACAAGATGCCCTGCCAATAGAGTTTCAGCAACATGACTGGCCAAAAATAATCTGAATAAATATGACACTAACAAACTTGCCAAAATGGACAAATGATAGCCCATAATTGCTCAACACTACACTAAGTTCTATATGTAACTGAGAAAATATAGAAAATGCAGATGCCATTCTTAGAGATGTGGACACCAATTTATGGTCTACCAAACAAAGGTCTGCTTTATAAAATACATGTGGGTAGCATTAGCAGATATATCAGAGTATATTTAAGAAAGTATCTCTATTGCTATAAATGTATGAATCCTATAATGATTATTATAAAATGTGTTCATCTTTGAAGGAGAGTGTGTAGTGATATATATGAAGATTTGAAAGAGGAAAGGGGAGAAATGTAATTAAATTATACTCTCAAAAATAAAAGGAAAGGATATTTTCCCCCAACTACATATACACAGACATGCAGGAATGCTCACATGAGTAAAATATAACCTGAAATGGTATAAAGCAAGCATTTTCAGAATAGCTCCTCTAAACAACACAGAGGCTAATTGGATTGAGGTTCCACTATGTTTAAGCAATATGGAGAAACCAGAAGTGGGAAGTTCTATGGCTCCTAAGACAGATTCTGTATTCTTTGCTCCTGTGGTAATTCTCCTTTTAGGTTCTTGAGTTTTTTACTACAGGGGATATGCATTCTGTAGTTTTACTAATGTACAGTTCATTATACTACTTTTTCACTGTAGATACCACACTCTCACAATGCTACTGGCCCATTTTAAACACCTTACAGGACTCAAGAATTGATATATTTTTTTTTTATTTTGGTGGAAGACTTTGCTGTTAAGTATCTACAGGTCATTCCACAGATCTTCTTATCCTGATTAACTTTGGGACTAGGGAAGCTTTTCTTTCATTTATACAATTCACTCTCCCAGATATTTAGGCCTCTCATGAAGGAAAATACACTTACTTTCTATACCCATACTACTTGTTATAACCTGAATCCTTAGCTTAATGATTGTGTAGTGAAATGTAATAGTGAATGTGGATAGTAGTAGGAGATTCATATCAAGAATGCATAGAATATTAAACAAAATATCTATGTATTAAATGTAGACAGCAACATGTCCTTAACTTTTCTCTTAGAATTATGAAAACAATTGTGGTTAGCTGGGTCTACAATTCATTCCAAGACAGGTATTAAGTTCCTATAGCCAGCAATTGTGTCTAGGAAAATTACAAACTGTACTCATTATGGTACCATTGCAAAAATATGAAAGTCACTTAATGCACACCTTTGCCAGATTGAACATCCCTGTCTATTAATTCTGAGTTGTAGTGAGCAGGTAATTCTAAATGTTCTTTGACATTGTTAAATTTCTTTGTTTTGCAGGAGTTTTAAGTTATAGAACTTATGGTATGGGGAATTTCACTGGGACATATTTGAAAGATAATCCTATATTAGGTTGTTTACTGTTTTCATGTACATAGATCAACAGGCAGGGTGAGAAGTCTGTTACCTGATTACACAGCCTATCCATCCTATCTATTTCATGTAAATATGCTCAAAGTCAACAAGGACTCAGAGAGGGACTCGAGTGTATAGGGTGGGAAAAATGGGGGAATGGTGGCCCTATCAATGCCATTGAAAGGAAAGAAATGCCATTCATGCTAAGAAAGACATTCTGCTGCAGCTTTTGCTTAATAGTGCTCAGCCTGCAGTAATTAAGTCATCTATGTCATGTAATTATAGACAATAGCCTTAATGGTTTCCCAGAGATAATCTTGGTGAGAGTATAAATAAGTCTCCTGTTTTGAACATACTAAGCAGGAGTGTTTGCATTTCTCTCCAAATAAAGGTTGTTTGTTGTGCATGTGCTACTGGGGTTAGGTGCCAATATTACAGCTGGATTTTGGAAATCAATTATGTTTTTCTTGCTATTGGGCACACCACATCATATTGTAAGAAGATATTTCTGTCCCCAAATTAATTTCCAATTAGCTGAAAGAAACAAAATTAACTGTAAATATCTGGCCAATGTTTTGTTCTTGCATTTAGCAAGCTTCCAGAATTTAAATTAACTCAATTCTATTTTTCTGTGTGCTTACTTGAGGCTACTTTATCTCATGTATTAACCCCAGTTTTGTAGATTGGTGCCTAATTGTATCTCTGTGATTCCATAATTCTCCCCAGTACTCACATTTCCCCAAATTCCTTTGCAGCCATCTGCCCATCATTATGTTAACAGCAATGAACACAACATTTCTTCACAGTGTATATAAAGTTTGTTCCACACCAGCAAATATTTTGAAACAAGGATGCTTGAGTGCAATGATGCACTCATTGCATAGGAAAATTTTCTATGATGGTTTGATTGTAGAGTGCTTTTGGGATTGTTGGCAAATTATGGAAAGTACAATGGCGTAATAACATGTTTTTAACATGTAGCCATATTGGAATTTTATCTATCAGAGACTTTAGATTATAGAGTTCTTTCTCTCTTCAAAATCCTGTGTCAGGCATTAGTTTTCATTGGATTCATGGAGTCATCTCTGTGGCTGGGCAATCTGAGATGTAAATTTCAGTGTACAGCTAAAAGGCAACATGGATGCCACTAATGGTAATGAGATTGTAGGGGTGAGACTTCAGAAGTAAGCTGTGGATTATAGTGAGGAAAGGATATAAGGATGGGATTTCATGTTGACATCTGACACAGTGAGTGAATTGGATAAAAGTGGAGAAAAGGTGGTGTTGGATTATTCCTTGTGTGGTTGAGTATATAGAAAAAGTGTCCATATTATAGCAATTGTGTAGCATAGTCTCAGGGTTGCCAAAAACTGGTCCCTTTGGGAAAAATCATGTAGTAAATAAAGGAAGCAAGTGATTTATAAAAAACCGGAGTTACCAGATGAGTACTGCTTATTTTATAACTATAACCTATCCTAAGTGAGGTAATCCAGACCTGATTTACACTTTCTAAGTATTTAATCCTAAATGTTTTCTCTTTTATGTCATGATCCTGATGTAGTGTCTCACAAGCCTGATCATGATAATCTCAGACTCAATCACACAGGAACTTCTTCTCCCCAGCTTCTGAGGAGATTTCCCTGAAGATAGAGTCAACACATCTTCCTGGTGGTATTATAAAACTTATGCTTTTCCCTCTCTTTTCAGTTATTAATCTGTAGTATGTAAAACTCGATTACATTGTTTATGTTTTCTTATATCAACATGTTTGCTGAACATATTTTTAAATCTTTAAATCTTTATGTTATGTGTTTTTCTTACTATTTCTTTGCAAGTGGCACATAATATTCTTTTCAACTAGACATACTTTATGTTTCTTGCCATAGAACCACCTATTGCTCATTTTCACCATTATTTGCCTAGAGGAAAATATGCAGATAATCTTCTGTGAAGTGAAATCTAGTTATAACATTTTGGTTCTAATGTTTGCAAATATCCTGAAACTTTTATTAATCTAGGAATTTCTTTCTATTTAATTTCCTAATATTCCACTTGTATACATGACCTGATTTGTGAGTCTTTTCTTCTTTTTGGATTAAAGTGTTTTAAAAAACAGAGCATATTTTTATATGTATATGAAATTTTATCATTGTCACTCCAGTTCCCCTATCTCACTCAACACTTTGTCTGAGACTGTACTTTTTAGGTCACTTTGCTACATTCTTTTTTTAAATATAAATATATGAAGATTTATTACAAGACTCGTGCATTTACATCATTTCTTCATCACTGTGGCTGAAACTCCTACTGTGCATTCATCATTCCCCTCCCAAATTCATTACCTCCTCACTAACTATTATTGTTAAGTATATACACGCAATGATGGAGGCATATTTTTACATAAACATGACCTGTTGATCCATTTGCTGTACCAATTTCTCAAAAATTTTATGGATATGTTGGCAAAATGGTAATGCTTTATGTATTATAATATTTTTGAAAGAGCTGGCAAAGGCCTGTAAGTTTCATGGATACAATAGCCATGTGACAATTGCTGGTTTACATTGTTTGGCTCAATTTAGTTCTTTAAGAAAGACTTGAGTTTTCTTAGTTAGATATCAGATATTGATAAGATACATGAGTGAGGAGTGTACTTTTAGTGTAATATAGCCATGGTGGTCATCATCATTCAATGTTATTAAAACTAAATTAGACAATTGAATACCTCTCTTCCTTAAGAGTGTCCTGAATGCCTTCCTGCTCTCTGATTGCTAATCCTCAGTACCAGTGTTTCATGTAGTTCCTGTACAAATTTCCCTATTCAAATCTCAGAATTGATCTACCAATCTAACAGGTTAATGATGTCTAGGAAAATGACAGCCTCTTTGTCACTGAACATGAGCTGGAATTAGAGGAAGATATTTAATGTTCACTTTGCCTGAGTACATATACTGAGTACATATACATATAGTCCTGAGTACATATACCAAATCCCTCACACGTCCATGATTATTTACATAAATATACTTAGGTGTTCATTTTGGAACACCACATTCATTTCACTAATCTGTATTTAACAATATCCAAATGACTTCAAGACAACAAATTTTTCTGTGTTTCAAAATGTGAGTGAAATTTGAAGTTCTGCATCATTACATTTCTATCTGTGTATTTTGTCAATGTTTCCTATTTAATAGAAGTTCTTTATGATGTTTAAGTCAGTTTTATCATAGAGAAAATACTAATATAGCTTCACTATGGATGTGAGCCTTTTTTGATACAGGGTTCCTCAGTTTCACTTTGGAGCCTGTCCTGGAACTAGCTCTTGTAGACTAGGTTGGTCTTGAACTCACAGATATCCAGCTTAGTCTGACTCACAAGTGCTGGGATTAATGGCATGTGGCACCTCCCCCTAGCTTGGATAGGACACTTTTAAACTTTGAATAGCTTTGAAAATTATTGGCTTCTTAAAGTCAATAAATTGTGACATTTAAAAATATAAATGCATACTAATCGTAATCTTTACATGTTCATAGCTAGAAGAATACTCATCTTTATATATCCTTACAATGGCCTTTAATTTATATAATTTATTTCTGATAGTGCTCCTTAGTGAAGTTGCATCCAAGCACTACAGCCATGCTTTCTTTCTGCATCATGAAAAGCTGACAATGGAGGAGACCACTTCCATGAGCTTATGAGCTTATGGTATTGTAAAGCCAACTGTTTACTCATTTCATTGTGATTTGATTACTCATGTAAGTAATTAGACTGAATTTCATATTTAATTATATTCTGGATCTTCTGGATTTATTAGACTTAAGTACATTACTGGATTACTGACTGCTTCACTTTACATAAGGTTATGTGTTTTCACTAAAGGAATGAAAATGTCTTTTGTATGATCTGCACATGTCCTACTTCCATACATAATTATGTCATACTTTCTATATGTTGGAGAGTTTTATTTCAATACTAAATCTTATATCACAAAGATTATAGTATGTTTTTTTAAACTCAGAAGAGACAAACACCTATACTCTCACCCTCATTACAGAAGGAAATGACATAGAAGGGACAGTGGTAAGGTTCAAGGAACACATATAATACACAAGCCTAACTTAGTGTGGTATCCAGGGTATGGAGGAAACAGTGATAGCATCCCCATTAGATGACAGTTATATTTCATTGACAAGCATACATTTTATGAACTTCTACAACCATGGTGAGTTTAATGAAATAAACAAGGATAACATTGTATGTTGGAAAACTACACATGCAGGGAGTCATTGCTGGAATGGGCTTCATATTCTCAGCAACACTCCATTTGAAAATCTGATTGTCCTTTCCCCCACAGATATAAAATACAAATACAGTCCTGGATAGGAGCTGATTTTTGTGTTCAAAGTTTTAATAATGCTGGCATTCATCTGGTTTGAACTAATGTTATGCTTTTTTGTAAATCTCATTGTAAAATCTTTCTAAAATATTTACATATATGAGAGTAATTTTAATGCAATCCCAAATATAAAGAAGACAATTCCCTAGCTAGACATCTTATGTCACAAAGTAATACCCCAGTGGCATGAGTGTGTTGTATATTGGACAGCCACTAGGCCTAACATTTTTGGCTTATACTTATTTATCATTATGGAATAATACAATTATATATAGTTATCTTCTGATTGCTCATTCTATTAATCAATGCTCTTATATTTGTGTTTGGGCTGATGTCTAGATGTTTAATAGCTTATCAAAGGCCATGTCACAGAAGAAGTCTCTTTCTCCCTCTCAAAATTCATTAGTAGCCTATAGCTCTTCAGTTATTACTGAATATTTTGAGATGTTTGATATCCACATTGGCATGAAAACATGTGTGACATTTTGCTAACCTTCTTTAGGTATCTCTATTTTTGAGATTTTGTGGATGCATCTTTCACATTATAAACAGAAGCTACGTTTTCACTGTACTCAAGTCTACGTTATTGGCCAGAAATACCATGAGACATTCATATGTGTCTTGGAGCTATAATGACTCTAAATCCTGTTAAGGGCTAAGATTTGCAAAATGATGGCAACTAAGGCAAGATGATACACACATCAAATTTACTTAGCACTTTAGTAGCCATACAAATATCACACTTTTGGCCTCAGCGAATGAATGAGAAAGGGTACTACTTGTGTTTTGAGATGTCCTGCTGTGCAACTATATTTTCATGAACTAAAAATATTTGGGAAAATTATTTTCCATTAAACTTTAATTTGACTTTAAACTATTTTAAGTCTATTGCTTTAAATTGAACATTTATACCATATACAGAAGTATATATAATCGGAGTTATGAATTAGATTTCTCATCCAAGATTGTTTCTTTAAGAGAATTACATTTATATGTATCTAGGTTGCAAATGTAGTCCAAGCACATTAAATAATTTAATCATTTATAAGTTGACTGGCCATTTTTTGTTACCTTTAAAAAAATGTTTCAGCAAATTTAGTAATTCACCTAAGATTTGGATTTAATAATTCATTCTTGCTACAGTTCTTGAGCCTCAAAATTTATAGCATTTGATTGAAGCTCTTTTGTAATAAAATAAGCTTTAAATGGTAAATAGAGTCTATGCAGCGAATGGACATTTCATTATCCTTATGCTTTTAAAGCATATATTCCAAAATAACAGTTCTTTTATATAACTCAGTTTATATAATTGCTGAAACTTAATAAAGTTATCAAACACTTTTCTGGTAAGATGCACATTTTTGAAATCAATTTTGTGGTCAGATATGAATATGATTATTGTTCTTGTTACCATAAATAAATATTTATTAACTTAGAAATGTGCAACAGTCATAACCCAAACAATATCTTTAAGTTCTATCTTCCATTAACATTGCAGCATTCATGCTCTGCAGTCATGTGTTGTGATGAAATTTTTGAATGATGAAAGTGTCTAATTTCACCTGCAAACTCTAAAAGGCTTTGGCTCCACAAAAAGCAGTTTAGTGCATCTATTTTAATTTTATGCATGCCCTATCTTGCATACGTGGATTTTCCTTTCTTTCTGTCTAAGAAAAGGCAATTAACAGAAATGCACTTCTATGTTTATTTTCCAAAACCTCCTATACATACCTACTTGCTCAATTTCATATTCATGATCTCTTTATAAATTATGGGTACATGAATGTATGTGGATGTGTACACACACACACACACACACGTATATCCCTTGCTAAGTATGTATAAATTTACTTAATTTTGTGTTTTCAGGTTTCCTCATCTGGTATCGGATTTGGTGTGTGCTTACTTTGTCAGATAAAACTTCATGTTTCCTTAAGCATTTTGGGTGAGTTGTGGTATCTGCCACGTTTGTTGCTTTACTTCTCTTTTCTGACTTCTTTGGTGTGCCAGGAGTTGTGTCTCACTGTCAAGAAAAAACCTTAACCATTTAAATGCCATATATTCTGTAGGTCTTTGAAAGGTTTGAAGAATAACTATCCATCTCAAAATATCTGTGTAATATAGAAAACTTAAATAATCTAATTATAATATTTGACTATTATAGGTGACTAGATAATCTGTATTTAATTATGCATGTCACAAAATTGACCTTAAATTGTATAAATAAATGAAAATCCATACCAATGAAAAGTATTCATTCCTGTATCCTATTCCCCATTTTTTTCTTTTAAAGAGACATTGACTTGATTATTACCATTTATAACCGACCCCATTTCAATGAAAACAAACATTTATAAACAATATTTGGGAATTTGGGCATCATTCATTCCAAACCGCTTCATGCTGGTTGGGGGCGATGTCCTTACCATAGGGATCATGATATCTTGCTGTAGTCATCTATGTCTGCATCTTCTCATCTGTTTTGGATATAGCATCAGTTGGGCCACTGCTTCAGGGTGTCTTACTTGATCAAAACATATCAATCAGGAAGTTATCCACAGATTTTCATTTTCTATGGAAACACAAGCAAAAACTTTGTTCCCAAGTAGCCTGTCCTTAGACTTAAATTATGAAGTCAAAGCATTTTTAAATTATATATGTTGTATTAATTTAGCAGCATTGATACTCAAATGTATTATAGCAGCTGTAGCTCTTTCCTCAGTCATCAAACAATTTAAAGAAAACAATATAGCATGTACTATACAGACTGTCATTGTATTTTCCATCTTTACTGGCTATTTATTTATTTTTTATTTTCTAGAATGTACATTTATTTTTTATTTTATTATATTTTAATGAGTTCAAATTAGGAACAAGCTTGTTTCACATGTCAATCCCTTCTTGCTCTCCCTCCCCTCGAACAGTCCTCCTTCCCCATCCTGACCTGCCCCCCACCCCATCAACCCTCCAATCCCCAGGAAGGGTAGGGGCTCCGCAAAGTCCACCACATCATCCTGGGCTGGGCCTAGGCCCTTCCCCATGTGTTCAGGGCAAGAGTTCATCCCTTCATGTGGCATGGGCTCTCAAATCCCTTCTTACAGGGAAAAATACTATCATGGGCCTCCTAGAGTGCAGAGGCCTCCTCATTGACATCCATGTTTAGGGGTCTGGATCAGTCTTGTACTGGCCTACCAGACAGTATCTGGGCTCAATGTGTTACCCTTTTGCAGGTCAGCTGTTTCTGTGGGTTTAACCAGCCTGGTACCAACCCCCTTTATCTTCATTTCTCCCTTTCTGCAACTAAGTTCCAGAGTTCAGTTCATTGTATATCTGTGGATGTCAGCCTCTGCTTCCATCATTGCTGGATGAGGGCTCTATTATGGCATAAAAATGTAGTCATCAATCTCATTTTATGGGAAGGGCATTTAGGTTGTCCTCTCCACCATTGCCTGGATTGTCTGTTGGTTTCATTCTTGTAGGTCTCTAGAAAAATCCCTAGTGCCAAATCTGTCCTTGGACCTTAAATGGCTCCCTCTAATATGGTATCTCTCATCATGCTCTCCTCTCTTCTTCTCCCAACTCAATATTTCTGCTCCTCCATTTCTTGCTCTCCTCTCCTCTTCTCCTGCTCTCATTCTGGCAGCTCCCTCTCCCCTACCCTCATGCTCCCAATTAGCTCAGAAGTTCCTGCCCCTTTCCATTCCTGGGGTCTGTGCATTTACCACCTAGAGTACTTCATGTTTCCTAATTTCTTTGGTGAAGAAGATTGTAGGCTGGTAAACCTTTGCTATATGTCTAAAATTCATATATGAGTGAGCACATACCATGTTTGTCTTTTTGTGATTGGGTTACCTCACTCAGGATGGCTTCTTCTAGTCCATCCAATTGCCTGAGAATTTCAAGATTCCATTGCTTTTTTCTGCTGAGTAGTACTCCATTGCATAAATGTACCACGTTTTCTCTATCCATTCTTCAGTTGAGGGGCATCTAGGTGCCTCCCAGGTTTTGGCTATTACAAACAATGCTGCTATGAACATGGTTGAACATATGTCCTTGTTGTATGAACACACACTATTTGGGTATATACCCAAGATAGGAATGGCTGGATCTTGATGTAGATTGATTCCCATTTTTCTGAGCAAATCGCCATACTGATTTCCAGAGTGGTCTTACAAGTTCGCACTCCCACCAGCAATGGAGGAGTGTTACTTTTTCTCTACATCCTCTCCAGCATAGATTGTCATTGGTATTTTTGATTTGCCATTCTGACAGGTGTGAGGTGGTATCCCAGAATTGTTTTGAGTTGCATTTCTCTGATGGCCAAGGATTTTGAGCACTTTCTTATGTGTCTTTCAGCCATTTCAGATTCCTCTGTTGAGAATTCTCTAGTTAGTTCTGCACCCCACTTATTAATTTCATTGTTTGGTGTTTTGGTGGCTAGCTTCTGGAGCTCCTTGTATATTTTGGACATAAGCCCTCTGTCAGATGTGGGGTTGGTGAAGATCTTTTCCCATTCTGTGGGTGGTCGTTTTGTCTTACTGACTGTGTCCTCTGCCTTCCAGAAGCTTCTCAGTTTCAGGAGATCCCATTTATTAATTGCAAACCTCAATGTCTGTGTTTGGCAATATCCCATCTGCTTCTATTGTGCGTAACAGTTTGAGGAGTATTGGAATTATCTCTTGTTTGAATTTCTGGTAGAATTCTGCAGTGAAGCCATCTGGCCCTGGGCTTTTTTTGGTTGGGAGGCTTTTGATGAATGCTTCTATTTCATTAGGGGTTATGGGTCGATTTAAACTGTTTATCTGATCTTGGTTTAATTTTGGTAAGTGATATTTAACCAGAAAACTGTCCACTTCCTATAGATTTTCGAATTTTGTGGAGTACAGGTTTTCAAAGTTATGACCTGAAGTTTCTATGGATTTCGTCAGTGTCCGTTGTTATATCCCCCCTTTCGTTTTTTATTTTTTTAATTATCATGTTCTCTCTCTGCCTGTTGGTTAGTTTGGCTAGAGGTTTGATCTTCTCAAAGAACCAACTCTTTGTTTCATTGATTCTTTGTACTGTTTTCCTACTTTCTGCTTTGTTGATTTCAGCCCCCAGGTTGATGATTTCCTGGCGTCTATTCCTCCTTGGTGAGTTTGCTTCTTTTTCCTCTAAGAATGTACATTTATTTTTTATTTTATTATATTTTAATGAGTTCAAATTAGGAACAAGCTTGTTTCACATGTCAATCCCTTCTTGCTCTCCCTCCCCTCGAACAGTCCTCCTTCCCCATCCTGACCTGCCCCCCACCCCATCAACCCTCCAATCCCCAGGAAGGGTAGGGGCTCCGCAAAGTCCACCACATCATCCTGGGCTGGGCCTAGGCCCTTCCCCATGTGTTCAGGGCAAGAGTTCATCCCTTCATGTGGCATGGGCTCTCAAATCCCTTCTTACAGGGAAAAATACTATCATGGGCCTCCTAGAGTGCAGAGGCCTCCTCATTGACATCCATGTTTAGGGGTCTGGATCAGTCTTGTACTGGCCTACCAGACAGTATCTGGGCTCAATGTGTTACCCTTTTGCAGGTCAGCTGTTTCTGTGGGTTTAACCAGCCTGGTACCAACCCCCTTTATCTTCATTTCTCCCTTTCTGCAACTAAGTTCCAGAGTTCAGTTCATTGTATATCTGTGGATGTCAGCCTCTGCTTCCATCATTGCTGGATGAGGGCTCTATTATGGCATAAAAATGTAGTCATCAATCTCATTTTATGGGAAGGGCATTTAGGTTGTCCTCTCCACCATTGCCTGGATTGTCTGTTGGTTTCATTCTTGTAGGTCTCTAGAAAAATCCCTAGTGCCAAATCTGTCCTTGGACCTTAAATGGCTCCCTCTAATATGGTATCTCTCATCATGCTCTCCTCTCTTCTTCTCCCAACTCAATATTTCTGCTCCTCCATTTCTTGCTCTCCTCTCCTCTTCTCCTGCTCTCATTCTGGCAGCTCCCTCTCCCCTACCCTCATGCTCCCAATTAGCTCAGAAGTTCCTGCCCCTTTCCATTCCTGGGGTCTGTGCATTTACCACCTAGAGTACTTCATGTTTCCTAATTTCTTTGGTGAAGAAGATTGTAGGCTGGTAAACCTTTGCTATATGTCTAAAATTCATATATGAGTGAGCACATACCATGTTTGTCTTTTTGTGATTGGGTTACCTCACTCAGGATGGCTTCTTCTAGTCCATCCAATTGCCTGAGAATTTCAAGATTCCATTGCTTTTTTCTGCTGAGTAGTACTCCATTGCATAAATGTACCACGTTTTCTCTATCCATTCTTCAGTTGAGGGGCATCTAGGTGCCTCCCAGGTTTTGGCTATTACAAACAATGCTGCTATGAACATGGTTGAACATATGTCCTTGTTGTATGAACACACACTATTTGGGTATATACCCAAGATAGGAATGGCTGGATCTTGATGTAGATTGATTCCCATTTTTCTGAGCAAATCGCCATACTGATTTCCAGAGTGGTCTTACAAGTTCGCACTCCCACCAGCAATGGAGGAGTGTTACTTTTTCTCTACATCCTCTCCAGCATAGATTGTCATTGGTATTTTTGATTTGCCATTCTGACAGGTGTGAGGTGGTATCCCAGAATTGTTTTGAGTTGCATTTCTCTGATGGCCAAGGATTTTGAGCACTTTCTTATGTGTCTTTCAGCCATTTCAGATTCCTCTGTTGAGAATTCTCTAGTTAGTTCTGCACCCCACTTATTAATTTCATTGTTTGGTGTTTTGGTGGCTAGCTTCTGGAGCTCCTTGTATATTTTGGACATAAGCCCTCTGTCAGATGTGGGGTTGGTGAAGATCTTTTCCCATTCTGTGGGTGGTCGTTTTGTCTTACTGACTGTGTCCTCTGCCTTCCAGAAGCTTCTCAGTTTCAGGAGATCCCATTTATTAATTGCAAACCTCAATGTCTGTGTTTGGCAATATCCCATCTGCTTCTATTGTGCGTAACAGTTTGAGGAGTATTGGAATTATCTCTTGTTTGAATTTCTGGTAGAATTCTGCAGTGAAGCCATCTGGCCCTGGGCTTTTTTTGGTTGGGAGGCTTTTGATGAATGCTTCTATTTCATTAGGGGTTATGGGTCGATTTAAACTGTTTATCTGATCTTGGTTTAATTTTGGTAAGTGATATTTAACCAGAAAACTGTCCACTTCCTATAGATTTTCGAATTTTGTGGAGTACAGGTTTTCAAAGTTATGACCTGAAGTTTCTATGGATTTCGTCAGTGTCCGTTGTTATATCCCCCCTTTCGTTTTTGATTTTGTTAATTAGCATGTTCTCTCTCTGCCTTTTGGTTAGTTTGGCTAGAGGTTTGATCTTCTCAAAGAACCAACTCTTTGTTTCATTGATTCTTTGTACTGTTTTCCTACTTTCTGCTTTGTTGATTTCAGCCCCCAGGTTGATGATTTCCTGGCGTCTATTCCTCCTTGGTGAGTTTGCTTCTTTTTCCTCTAAATCTTTCAGTTGTTCTGTCAATTCTCTAATGTGACCTTTCTCCAGTTTCTTCATGTGGGCACTTAGTTTTATGAACTTCCCTCTTAGCACTGCTTTCAGAGTGTCCCATAAGTTTGGGTATGTTGTATCTACATTCTCTTTAAATTCCAGGAAGTCTTTAATTTCTTTTTTTCTTTCTTCCTCAACCCAGGAATGGTTCATGTGGGCACTTAGTTTTATGAACTTCCCTCTTAGCACTGCTTTCAGAGTGTCCCATAAGTTTGGGTATGTTGTATCTACATTCTCTTTAAATTCCAGGAAGTCTTTAATTTCTTTTTTTCTTTCTTCCTCAACCCAGGAATGGTGCAATTGTGTGTTATTCATTTTCCACGAGTATTTAGGTTTCAAAGTTATTATAACAAAATTAGACAATTGAATACCTTTTTTCCTTAACAGCTTTCTGAATGCTTTTTCATCCTGAAAGCAAATCATCAGGTATCAGTGTTTAATGTAGTTTCTGTTCAAATTTCCTAAAACAAATCTCAGAATTTATCTGGCAATCCAAGAGGATGATGATGTCTAGGATAAATGACAAACTGTTTTTCACTGAAGATAAGCTGGAATTAATTAGACAAAGAGATTTAATGTTCAATTTGCCTGCTTAGTCATGGATATATATACCAGATCCCTCACACATCCATGATTATATGCATAAATATACTTAAGTGTTCATTTTGGAACACCACATTTTATTTCAGTGATCTTTATTTAACAATATCCACATGATTTTAACACCACAAGTTTTTTCTAAGTTTCAAAATGTGAGTGAAATTTGAAGTTTTTCATTGTTACTTTTCTATCTGTATATTTTGTTGATGTTGCCTATTTTACAGAAGTTCTTTATGATGTTTAAATCAGTTTTACCCTAGAGAAAATTCTAATATCTTCACCATGGAAGGGATACATTTATTTTAGAGACAGGGTTCCTCTGTGTCACTTTGGATCCTCTCCTGGAACTAGCTCATGTAGACCAGGTTGGTCTTCATCTCACTGATATCCACTTACTCTGACTCACAACTGCTGGATTTAATGGCATGTGTTACCACCACCTAGCTTGGATGGGGTATTTTAATCTTTGAATAGCACTGAGAATCACTGGCCTCTTAAACTCAATACATTATGACATTTAAAAATAAAAATGCATTCTAATTGTAATCTTAAATACATGTTTATAGCATGAATAATAGTCACATTTATTTCACTCTATGATGGCCATTAATTAATATATTTATTTCTGGTATAGATTCTGACAGGGCAGCTTAGTGAAGTTGCATCCAAGCTCTACAGCCATGATTCCTCTCTGCATTCTCAGAAGCTGACATTGGAGGAGACCCCTTCTCTGAGCTTATGGTATTGTAAAGCCAACTGTTTACTCAGTTCATTGTGATTGTTGTTTACTCATGTAAGTAATTAGACTAAAATTCATATTTATTTATATTCTGGATTTTCTGAAGTTATTAGACATAAGTACATTACTAGATTACTGACTGCTTCACTTTACATCAGGTTATATCTTTTCACAAAAGTAATGAAAATGTTCTTTGTATGATCTGCACATGACCTATTTCCATACATAATAATGCCATACTTAACTATATGTTGGAGAGTTTTATGTTGAATATTAACTCATATATCACAAAGAATATAGTGTGTTCTTTTAACCTCAGAAGAGACACACATTTTTTTCATTACAGAGGGAAATGGCATAGAAGGGACCGTAGTAAGTTTCAAGGGACACATATAATACAAGAGCCTAATTTACTGTAATATCCAAGGTATGGAGGACATAGTGATAACCTCCCCATTAGATATCAGGTAGATCTCATTGACAAGCATGAATTTATGTACTTCTACCCACTCAGATGGCCCATTTACAAAGAGTTTTGAGATACCAAATTTTCAGGTATGTGCCTTTACAGCCATCCTGCTTGAGAATCGGGTATGAGCAGAATCTCCAGTTTTAATCAATATTGTATAAGGTTATGATTTTCCCTAGTTGGGTTTATCAGGAAACACTAAACAGCATTCTTGTTTCCAAGCCTGTGAGTTGAGTTGATAGGAGATCTGGTCCAGACTGAAAATATTATGCATATCATGATGACTCGTGTTATGTTGTGAGAGCATATTAAGTATAGAAACCAATCCTGAGATTATACAAAAAGCTGGAAGAAGGCAGCATTAGATATGATCTTTAAGTTTTATGAAATAAACAAGTATAACATTGTATGTTGGGAAACAACACATGTATGGGGTCATTGCTGAAATGGGCTGCATATTCTCAGCAACACTCTATTTGAAAATCTGATTGTCCTTTCCCTCACAGATATAAACTATAAATAAAGTCCTGGTTAGAAGTTGATTTTTTGTGTTCATAGTTTTAATAATGTTGGCATTCATCTGGCTTGAACTAATGTTATTCTTTTTGTAACTCATACTATAAAATCTTTCTAAACTATTTACATATATGAGAGTAATTTTAATGCATTCCCTTATATAAAGGAGATAATTCCCTAGCTAGACATCTTATGTCACAAAGTAATACCCCACTGGCATGAATGTGTTGTATATTGGACACCCATTAGCCCTAAAATTTTTGGCTTATACTTATACATCATTATGGAATAATACAAATATATATACTTATCTACTGATTGTTTATTCCACTAACCAATGATCTTATATTTACATTTGGGCTGATGTATTGATATTTAATAACCTATCAAAGGCCTTGTCACAGAAGAATTCTCATTCTCCCTCTCAACATTTATTAATTGCCTGTAGCTCTTCAGTTGTTACTGAAAATTTTGAGATGACTGACATCCATGACATTGGCATGAAAACATGTGCTGTCATTTTGTTAACTGTCTTTAGGTATCTCTATTTTGAGATTTTGTGGATGCATCATTCATATTATAAATAGAAGCTACTTTTTCACAGCACTCAAGTCTACTTTATGACCTGAAATACTTTAAGCCTTTCAGATGTGTCTTGGAGCTTTAAATATTCCAATACCCTTTAAAGGGCTAAGATTTGCAAAATGATGGCAAGTAAGGCAAGATGATAGATACATATAATTTACTTAGAACTTTTGTAGCAGTATTATCCACACTTTTGGCCTCAGCATTGCATGTTGGTAAAGAACAGACTAAATATAATGTGGAATGGTATAGGAGACTCTCTATGGTGTCATCAATGTAAGAAATTATAAAACTGACATTATTGGGAAAGGGATTGTGTCTTCTTTAGTGATTGAAAGCTATTTGGACAATACATGGTATGGATCATATATCTGATTTCTCTGGGATTGTTTTGCTACTACATGTTTAAGGTTCACAGGAAAACAAGAAGCAATTTTTCCATTTCCTAAGATTTCACTCCAGCATTAGAAGACTAAAATAGATAATTAAGGATCTCAGACTATAACTTCAGGTATGTGATAGTACGTTTGATGGTTGCACCTTCCCATAAATCAGCTTCCTTTTGGTCCTTGAACAATATTCAATGTTCCACTTTTCCTTCCAAATCAAAATATTCATGGCTAGGAAATTTTATCAGTCAACACACACTTGCCTTTCTGATATGGGCAGCTGAATTTTATTTTTAGGATATATGTAAAAACCAAGGCATAATAGTGTGGGCTATTACTTGTCAAGACATGAGGGGAATTGACAGACACATTTCTGAATTTTCTTGGCCAGCCGGCCTAGACAAGTTGGTAATTTCTAGTCCACTGAGAAACACTGTTTCACCTGAGCTAGAGTTAGTAGATATCTGCATGATAATATTATAGTGGTTCTTAGAGTACTTTTGAGATCATCATTTCTAACACCAAGGCAACATGCATGTATTCTGCCAGATCAAGACAACCAAATTTCCACTATGTCTGTCCATAGTGGGGATTCATATATTCCTATCTTAGTCGATATTGTCAGGTGATAGGCTTCTGGAGAAAGGATAGTCAGGTTTCTTTTGGGATGTTTTCTGAGTGGCTACTTATCTCACACAGATATTTCCCAAAGAAACTTCTGTGGAAAAATATCATTTTTCTTTGTTTGTGGTTTTCAGATGGGAGATCATTTTTTCCTTCCTCTTTTTAGTGTTGGGATGATTTCTGGCTTGGTCCTGGACAGTCCTGTGCTTCCTGCCAGGGTCTCTGTGAGTTCATATGTAGGTCAGTATTGATGTTTCTAGAAGGCACTTTGTGCTCTGTGTCTTCCATTCACACTGGAGTATAAATGCTTCTCTAAAATACCCTTTTATTATTTCTTTACAATTATGACATCATAATATACTCCATGATAATTTGGAATGTTGCATGAACAGGGCTGCACACCATACATCTTTTTTTAATCCAAGTATTATTTAGAAATAATGTAATAGATATAAAGGTCTAACACAGTGTTATGTCTCATTAAAATATTCCCAGTGTTTGGTGAAACTGGCACATGGAAATTGAAGACTAAGCAGCATGCTATCATTGACAGCCCACAGTCATAATCTGAATGCCCAGACAGAAATGGAAGCTTTCATTGAATAGCCAGGATAAAGGCCTGTTAAGACAGATAATCAGCCTGCAAGCACCATTTTATTGTATTGTTTTCATCAATGTGAGCCAGATCCCCAGAGTAAATTACATTTTCCTATCTTTCTCTTTTCCCTTTCCTTGATTCTGTTCTGAAACTTAAGGAAGAAGGGTATCTGGATTTCCCAGCAAAGCTAAAGACTCTACTTGGATTTTCTACAATGTTACCCAAAGTAGTGAGTTTAATGTCCAAATATCTGGCAGTTTCCCTTGATTAGGGAACATTGATGGTTATGCTACGGAAAATGGAATTAGCTTTTGCAAAGTTATGAGAATTGGAAACATAGAAAGGGACATGGCCAGGTAAAATATCATGTATGTCCAATACCAGTTGGGTTGCAGGCTTAGGTACAAGTGTCTCCTGTCCACAGTTTCTCATGTGTCATTTTGGGAGCTATTGAGTGCTTACTAATTACTATTGGCATCTCTGTAGTTTTGACATTTAAGCCGTGGGTGTCAACACTAAGATCATCCACTGATAATGAGAATTAATTACCCTTTGGTGTGATACTGCTTGCTCTGGCCTACATACTTTCCACCAATAGTTTTCCTATTTGGTCAGGGTTTAGAGACTAGTGCAGCAGAAGTCCAGTAAGCCTTAGTTACATGTTTATCTTTATTCTATAATGATGCTAACAAACCAGTTACTCTGATGAGGTTGTGTACCATGTAAGAGAAAGGGTACCATTTGTGTTTTGAGATGCCTTTCTCTGCAAGTGTATTGTTATAAATTAAAAATATTTTGGAAAATTATTTTCCATTAAACTTCAATTTGACTTTAAACTATTGTAAGAATCTTGCTTTAAATTGAATTTTAACACTATATACAAAAAAGTATATAATGTGAGGTATAAATTAGTTTTCTCCTACATGATTGTTTTTAAGAGAATTACATTTGTATGAATCTAGGTTACAAACATAGTTCCAAGCACATTAAATAATTTTATCATTTATAAGTTGAATGACCATTTTTTGTTACCTTTGGTTTAAAATGTTTCAATAAATTAGTAATTCATATAAGATTGGGATTTAACAATTCATCCATGCTACAGTTCTTGAGCCTCAAAATTTAAAACATTTATTGGAGCTCTTTTTTGTAATAAAATTAGCTGTAAATGGTAAATAGAGTCTATGCAGAGAAGGGGGCACTTCATTGTCTCTATGCTTTTACAGCATAAATTCCAAAATAACAGTTCTTTGTATAGCTCAGTTTGTATAATTGCTGAAACTTAGTAAAGTTTTCAAAGTCTTTTCTGGTAAGATGCACATTTTTGAAATCAGTTTTGTGATTAGACATAAATATTTTTATCGTTTTTGTTAACACAAATAAATATTTTTTAACCTAGAAATGTACAAAAGTCATAAATCAAACAATAGCTTTAAGTTTTATCTTCCATTAATATTACAGCATTCCAGCTCTGCAGCTTTCATAAGTCATCACTCCCCCTGGGAAGAGATTTTGGATGATGCATGTGTCTGAATTCCACCTGCAAAGCCTAAAAAGCTTTGGCTCCATAAGCAGCAGTTTAGTGCATCTATTTTAATTTTATGCATGCCCTATCTTGGATACGTGGATTTTCCTTTCTTTCTCTCTAAGAAAAGGCAATTAGCAGAAATGCATGTCTATGTTTATTTTCCAAAACCTCCTATACATACCTACTTGTTCAATTTCATATTCATGGCTTCTTTATAAATTATGGTTACATGTATGTATGTGGATGTGTACACACACACACACACACACACACACACACGTATATCCCTTCATAATTATGTATTAATTACTTAATTTTATGGTCTCAGGTTTCACCATCTGGTATTGGATTTGGTTTGTGCTTACCTTCTCAGATAAAACTTCCTGTTTCCTTAAACATTTTGGGTGAGTTGTAGTATCTGCTGCATTTGTTGCTTTACTTCTCCTTTCTGAGGTAATTAGTTTGCCAGGAGCAGTTGTGTCTCACTGCCAAGAAAAACTCTAAACCATTTAAATGCCATATATTTTGTAGGCCTTTAAAGGTTTGAAGTATAACTATTCATCTCAAAGACATCTTTGTAATATCTAGAAAACCTAACTAACCTAATTATAATTTTTGACTATTATAGGTGACTATAATCCATATTTAATTATGCATATCACAAATTGGCCTTAAAGTTGTATCAATAAATCAAAATCCATACCAATGCAATTATTCATTCCTATATCCTATTCCCCTTTTTTCTTTCAAAAAGAGATTGACAGTGATCATTTCCATTTATAACCTACCCCATTTAAATGGAAACAAACATTTATCAACAATATTTAGGAATTTGTGCGTCATTCATTCCAAGCTGCTTCCTGCTGGTTGGGGGTGATGTCCATGTCATTGGGATCATGATAAAACACAGAAATCTGGCAGTAGTCATCTATGCCTACATTTTCCCAGCTGTTTTGGATATAGGATCAGTTGGGCCACTGCTTCAGGGGATCTTTCTTGATCAAACCATATTAGTCTGGAAGGAATCCACAGGTTTTCATTTTCTGTGAAAACACAGCAAAGACTTTCTTCCCAAGTAGCCTGTTTAGACTTAAACTATGAAGTCAAAGCATTTTAAAAATATATAAGATGTATTAATTTATCAGCATTGATAATCAAATATATCGCAGCACCTGTAGCTCTTTCCTCAGCCAACAATTTAAAGAAAACAATGTAGCATATAGTATTCTGACTCTCATTGTATTTTCCATCTTTACGTGGCTTTTTATTTATTTCTTTTACTTCCTTTTGTTTCTTTTTCCCAGAGACAGGGTTACTTTGTGTAATTTTGGATGCTCTTGAATTCATTCTGTACACCAGGCTGGCCTTGAAGTCACAGATATCTGCTTGGCTCTGCCTCCTGAGTGCTGGGATTAAAGGCATGTGCCACCACCACCCAGCTACTCTATTTTTTTCTTCCTCTTTTTTCTCTCACAAGCCTACATATATTTTTAAACAGAGTGTAAAACTTTAGAGGTTTTTTATTCATATGTTTTTATTGTAAATCTTTACCTTTTTTATGGCTAACAATCTTTTAACTGTTAAACAACACTGCCAAAATTAAAGTGGTGGCTTTCTTAGCTTCTAATTTCCAAGATAACGGAGGTATGTTTACCATCAGCTCTGAGAACTGTTAGCAGTGCCTTGGTCTATGCTTCCATTAAGTATGCTGCTGGCTTGCAGATGTGGTCACAGCTGCATGGGACATGAACCCACGACTCTCAGATTACGAGTCTCATGCTCTAACAACTCATCTAGATGAGCCTCTTTAAAGGAACCCCTGTTGTATATTCACTTAGGCCAATTCAGAAAAACCTCTCAAAAAGAACTGCTCCAGTCTCTGCATGTCTCTATCAAAACAGAAACCACCCGAGAAAATTCTGCTACCAAGAAGTCGTGCTTGTCTCTGTACTTTTGCTGCTAAAATCCTTTTCAAGTATTTGTGAATGCCTAGTCACAGGAAGGCACCCATGGCACATGGGACTCAAGACACTTTCTGCCAGCTGCTGCAGTTCTGCCCACTGCCATATTAAGGTCCCAAATAACACAGAGATATTTATATTAGATACAAATGCTGCTTGGCAAATAGTCTACATAAGTGCTTTGAAAACCTCTACCAGGCAACTCCTACAGCTGATAAACACCTTTAGCAGGATAGCAGGATAGAAAATTAACTAAAAAAATCAGTAGCCCTACTGTATACAGATGATCAATGCAATGAGAAAGAAATCAGAGAAACATCACCCTTCACAATATCCACAAGCAATATAAAATATCTTGGGGCAACACTAACCAAAAAAGTGAAAGACCTGTACAATAAGAACTTTGAGTCTTTAAAGAAACATATTAAAGAAGATACCAGAAATGGAAAGATCTCCCATGCTCTTGGATAGGCAGAACCAACATAGGAAAAATGGCAATCTTGCCAAGAGCAATCTAGAGATTCAACGCAATCCCCATCAAAATCCCAACACAATTCTTCACTGACCTTGAAAGAACAATTCTCAACTTTACATGGAAAAACAAAAGACCCACGATAGCCAAAACAACATTGTACAATAAAGGATGTTCTGGAAGCGTCACCATCCATGCCTTCAAACTGTATTATAGAGCCAAAGTTCTGAAAACAGCTTGGTATTGGCACAAAAATAGACAGATAGAGCAAGGGAATTGAATTGAAGACCCTGATATTAACCCACACACCTATGAACACCTTATTTTTGAAAAAGATGCTAAATGTATACAATGGAAGAAAGATAGCTTCTTCAACAAATGGTGTTGGCACAACTGGATTCGGACATGCAGAAGATTGCAGATAGATCCATATCTGTCACCATGCACAAAACTTAAGTGCAAATGGATCAACGATCTCACCATAAATCCAGCCAAACGGAATCTTCTAGAAGAGAAAGTGGAAGGTACCCTTGGATGAATTGGCACAGGAGCTCACTTCCTTAACATTACACCAGTAGCACAGACATTGAGATCTTCAATTAATAAATGGGACCTCCTGAAACTGTGAAGCCTTTGTAAGGCAAAGGAAACAGTCAGTAAGACAAAACAACAACCCACACAATGGGAAAAGATCTTCACCAACCCCACATCTTACAGAGGCCTTATGTCCAAAATATACAAGGAGCTCCAGAAGCTAGCCACCAAAACACCAAACAATGAAATTAAAAAGTGGGGCACAGAACTAAATAGAGAATTTTCAACAGATGAATCTGAAATGGCTGAAAAACACTTAAGAAAGTGCTCAAAATCCTTGGCCATCAGAGAAATGCAACTCAAAACAACTCTGGGATACCACCTCACACCTGTCAGAATGGCTAAAATCACAAATACCAATGACAATCTATGCTGAGAGGATGTGGATAAATAGGAGCAATCCTCCATTGCTGGTGGGAGTGCGAACTTGTAAGACCACTCTGGAAATCAGTATGGCGGTTGCTCAGAAAAAAGAGAATCAGTCTACCTCATGATCCAGCCATTCCTCTCTTGGGCATATACCCAAATAATGCATGCCCATATATCAAGGACATATGTTCAACCATGTTCATAGCAGCATTGTTTGTAATAGCCAGAAACTGGAAGCCACCTAATTGCCCCTCAACTGAAGAATGGATAGAGAAAATGTGGTACATTTATACAATGGAGTACTACTCATCATAAAAAATGGAATCTTGAAATTCACAGGCAAATGGATGTAACTAGAGGAAACCATCCTGAGTGAGGTAACCAGTTACAAAAAGACAAACATGGTATGTACTCACTCATATATGAATTTTTGATATAGAGCAAAGGATTATCAGCCTAAAATCCTCTTCACCAAAGAAATTTGGATACATGAAGGACTCTAAGTGACAAATGCATGGACCCCAGGAATGGGAAAGGGCAGGAACTTCTGAGCTAATTGGGAGCATGAGTGTATGGGAGAGGGAGCTTCCAGAATGAAAGCAGGAGAAGAGCACTGGAGAGGAGATGAGAGGAGGAAATGGAGTAGCAGAAATGTTTATTTGGGCAAAAATAGTGGAAACCAGGATGAGAGATACCATATTAGAGGGAGCCATTATACTTCTGTGGAGAGATGTGGCACTAGGGAGGTTTCCAGAGACCTATAAGGATGACACAAACTGACAATCCAGGCAATGGTGGAACCTAAATGCCCTTCTACTATATTAAGACTGATGACCACTTTTTATGCCACCCTGGAGCCCTCATCCAGTGGCTAATGGAAGCAGAGGCAGACATCCACAGATATACACGGAACTGAACTCTGGAACATAGTTGCAGAAAAGAGAGGAATGAAGATCGAAGGTGTTGGTACCAGGCTGGTGAAACCTTCAGAAATGGCTGGTCTGAACAAGGGGGAACACATCGACCCCAGATGCTGTCTGGGAGGTAGTACAGGACTTATCCATACCCCTGAACATGGATGTCAATGAGGAGGCCTCTACACTCTAGGGGGGGCCCTGGTAGTAGATTAGTATTTTTCCCTTGTGTAAGAAGGGAATTTGAGAGCCCATCCAACATGAAGGATACACTCTTGCCCTGGACACATGGGGAAGGACCTAGGCCCAGATCAGGATAATGTTATACTTTGGGGAGGCCCCATTGAGGATCCTGCCCTGCCTCGGGAGTGCAGGTTGGGTAGGGTGAGGGGTAGGTCTGGGGTTGGAGCAGAGGGGCAGAAATGAGTGGAGGGAAGGGAGAAGGGTTTGACATGTGAAACAAGCTTGTTCCAGTCTTTAATTTGAATTAAAGAAAAAAATTAAAAAGAGAGAAAAAATAAAATGATTTTTGCAAGTTGCAAAAATAAAAATGAAATTAGGATACCAAAGTATAGAAGGGTTTATCCTCTGGCTATCTCCTCCATGAATATGTGTGACTAACCCACATCAAAACTGCATGTGCATGCATATGCAGATACAAACACACACACACACACACACCAGAGAGAGAGAGGAGGGATGCCTAAAATATATATAGGATTTAACAGTTATTTTCCCAAACATCTCTTGAACCATTTAAGTAACTTCATGATAATTTAGGACACTCCATTTTCACTCTGTATATTCGTCATTGTAGCTTGAACCACGGTTTCTTTCTTTAAGGTAAGTAGAACTTTCTGGGGATATATATATATATATATATATATATATATATCAGACACAGGTATGTTGCAAAAGTGACAGCAGGAATCAGAATGGATCAGACCAAAATCGATGTTTCTGGATAATATTCAGATTCTAGGGCACATCACCTTAATACATGCCCAG